CAGAGGCTGCACGGGCTGGGCCTGCCTCCAGCAATTTTAAATAGCAGAGAGAGCGCTGTGACTTTGCCCCCTTGCAGGAGGGCCCCAGCACGGAGGCAGCTCCCTGCACAGCCCACGGGCAGGCAGCAGCCCCAGCTGCAAGCAGCAGCAGCGCTGTGTGTGGCCCACGCTCTTAGTGATGGGAAGCAAGGGGCCCTCAGCCCCCACCTGCCCTGCAGGGCCCCATACGCACAGAGAGGGCTTTGGGTTCAAGAGGAGGTGCAGATGCCCAGATCTGCTGGACACACTGTCCCAAGGCAGGGCACGGATCCTTGCGCTGGGACTGGAGATCCCCGGCTGCTCAGAGAGGGGATGGACAGCCTGGGGCACCCCAGGGCAAGGACTGCCAGGAGGGACAGCAGACGATGCAGGACAGCAAGCAGGAAGGCTAGGGAAGGGAGGGGACAGAAGTAGCTGCAGCTAAAGAGGACATCAAAGTCACAGGGCTTGACATACTGAGGACAGGAGCCTCTCGCACTGCAGGTCTGGCAGCTTGGGATGGCTGTAAGCCCCAGCAGTGCCACCTCATCACATGCACCAAGGCAGGAGTGGGGGATGCAAGTGAGGGCAGCCTGAGCTCAGCAGCCCACCTGGCTCTTGCCGGGCCTGGGCGCTCATGAGGATGGGCACAGCATCTCCAGCAGGAAAGCTGGTCTTCCACTAGGAAGCCTGCGTCCCACTACTGCAGAGGGCTGAGCTGATCGAGGGAGCCACGCAGCAGGGAGCTGGACTCCCCCTCCGCCCCAGCTCACAGGGCACCAGGCTGTAACCAAACCTCAGCTGGGAGATGACAGAGCCAGCATCCTCCCAGGGACTATCCGGAGGGCCCCCCAGACCAGAGGGGCACCCCTGCAGCCCCAGGGAGAGGGGTCCCAACCAAGTCCCAGGCGCTGGGGTTGCTGGCAGCAGCCTCCAGCACTGCAGGAGATGGTCAGCACAGGGGCAGGCAGCAACCCAAGCCCGGAGCCAGGCTGCCAACCCTGCAGTTGGCAGTGCAGCAGGTATGGCAGTTCATGGTCACCCTCTTAAGAGGCACCCCTCCCTCCCCCCCAAAACAAGAGCCAGCCCTCCCCCCTGGGCAGCAGCATACCCAGGGCCCCAGCACAGCCCAGGACACAGCGACCGTGTTCAGCTGCAGCAATTTCATTCTGGGGTTTCACAGGTCCCCCCCTCACAGGTTGAAGGACCCCCAGCTCTCCCCACTGTCACACCACAAACTTGTTCTTGGTGAGGGAGCCACTCTTGGTGGCCGTGTCCGCATGGGCCTGGTACCCAATAGCCACCTTCTGCGACAGGCCCAGGTGCTCCTTGTAGACACGCCTGGAGGAGAGAGGGAGGGCTGCAGAGACACTTTCCCCTCCAGCTCCCTGCTGGGGAACAGGACACCCAAACCACCAGCCCTGATCAGCCATGGGGGACAATGGAGGGGAACAAGCTCAGGGCAAAAGGCAGAGAAATGACCCCACTGTTATGGGGCCCATTCCCCAGAGGGGACCAAGGGCCCAGGTGACCTTTGCAGGGAGGGATCTGCAGGGGTTGTGTTACCCGATGTGGGTGACCCCTTCACGGTTCTCCGCCTCCCGGGTCCAGATGGCGATCTTGTCCCCCTTGGCACGGATGTTGATGACGGCCCCGCACACCTCATCGCTGTACTCATCAAACATCTCCCCGATGAGGCACAGCAGCTGCCCAGAGAAGGGGGGGAGCCCAGGACAGTCCCAGCCACCCATGGCAGGGAAACACCATTGCCTTGACCTCATGGAGTGGCACAAGAGGTGGGAGCAGGGCCAGCACAGGACGTGCACTCACCGTCTCCAGCCAGAAGCGGTCCAGCTCTGTGTGCCTCTGCTGCTTGGCCAGCGTGATGAGCCAGCGCCCGCCACGCTTGTTCTGGTTGTCCTCCCACATGGGCTCGATCCCGTCCTGGGCAGAGGCGAGACAGCGGTCAGGCCTGCCGAGCGCACGGCCAGAGCTGGCTCGGCGCGCAGGGAGCTGTGAGCGCTTGGCCAAGCTTCCTGCGCTGCAGCCCGGGCACCATGGTGAGCCCCGGCCACCTCCGC